TTAGAAATAGACCGTGGTATAAACATCAAGTGGCAACACTCTTAGAAGAAAAGGTTCTATCAGCGCTACGTATTTGGAACCCCTAAAAGGTTCTACACACTCTTAAAAAAAAGGGTTCCTCTGGGTTCTATATAGAACCCTAGGGTTCCATACTTGGCCAATAGAACCTTTTACCAAAAAAATGGTTCTATATAGAACCATTTTGGAGTTCCATATATGAAGTGAGGGATGGAACCATTTCTGGTTCGAAATAGAACCATTTCTTCTAAGAGTGAAGGGTCTAGAACCACAGTAGAACACATAGAACCTTTTTATTGGTCGAAGCGGAATCTCACAATGTGGTATACTTTAAAATCATATGGTATTAACATTATACACACACACACACACACACACACACACACACAAAATGTATTAAAAAAAGTTAACAAAAAATACAAACCTTAAAATAAAATTATCTCTAACTGAAATAAAATATTTTAAAAATATGGTTTTATTTCAGCAACTTGCCAAGGCAACATTTCTCATTTTCATTTAGTTTAACTTGTACTAAAACAACTAAATCTAAAACTGAAATAAAATGTAATAAAACTCTATAGACATATTAAAAACAAAACTAATGCAACTGACCAAAACACAACAAAACCTCTAAAACTTTAAGTAAATTTAAAATGAAAACAGAAAATTATTTATTGTGTGTGTGTGACACACTTTAAATTGCCATTGTTTTTGAAATGTTCAAGATAAATAAACTTTAAACAAATAAACATGATATTGCCATTGCAAATGGTAAAATTATGTAGTAAATAAAATGCCATGATCCATGCCATTTACTCCAAAGCACCTCAAAACATATCATCTTATAGTTGCTTATGAGAATTTTGATATTATGTGAAAGTTTGTTTTGTCTAGTGAACCTTTTATAGTTGCTTTTGAGTATTTTTATATTGATACTTTGTGACTTTATATTGCCAATATTTGTTCAAGCATTGTTTAAACAAATAAATGTTTATTATAATTATTTAAAAAAAAATATAACTGAAATAAGTTGTTTCCTGTAAGTGTACACTATGAAGTGTGCTTCACTGTTCATGTCAGGCTGATCCAATGAAAGCAAAGGAATAGTGTGCTTTATATGAATAAATCAAGTGAAGTTTGCATGGAATTCTATAATTGAAATGTCATCAGAAACTGTCGTTCGATATAAAACTCTATAGTTTTAAGGTTCTGCCAGCGCTGCATTAACTGTGGTCAGCGCTGCAGTTCTTCTTCACCAAAGCGGAGCTTCAGTTTCGCTTTCTGGAGTTTCTGTGTGAAGCTCAACTTTCTCCGAGTCCTCGGGTCTCGCTGCTTACAGTCTGGGAAATGAGGTGATGCCTTTAAATAGCTCAGGGTCAGGGGTCGTCGAGGGGTTAAATGACTGTCAAATCTGTGTGAACACACACTAACGCCTCATTTACATATTCATGAGAACGGAGATCAAACGTCCAGAGGCTTGAAGAGGTGAAGAACACACACCAGTTCAGAAGATGAGCTTCTCACACACACACACACTCATGCACATTCACGCACACTCGCACACTTACTCTCACTCACACACACACACACACACGCACAGACGCACTAACATACAGACACAAACAAACACACTCTCACACACACACATGCACACACACACACACACACACACACACACACACACACACAGACACACGCACTCCCACACACACACACACACACTCGCACACTTACTCTCACTCCTACACACACACACACACTGACACTCGCACACTTACTCTCACTCACACACACACACACACTCATGCACGCACGCACAAACGCACTACATACACAAACACACTCTCTCACACACAATGCACTCACAAACACACACACACACACAAACACACACACACGCACTCCCACACACACTCTCTCTCTCTCTCTCTCACACACACACACACTCACACACCACTCTCTCTCTCTCTCTCTCTCTCTCTCACACACACACACACACACACACTCACACACCACTCTCTCTCTCTCTCTCTCTCTCTCACAACACACACACACTCACACACTCTCTCTCTCTCTCTCTCTCTCTCTCACACAGAAAATTATCATAATTATTATTGTTCGCTGGTTTTGTTGAAAGCCTGCTGCTCATTAAAGAGCAATTATGTTTTTAATTATCATTCTGCATATAAAAACCATCACCACCATCATCATCATCATCATCATCATCAACAGGAAGCCAGAATCAACGAGTTCTTATTAGATGACAAATATTAAAATCAAAAAATGGGACTTTCATGAGCATTTGTGGTTCAACACGAGTGGAGATGTGTGTCGGCGACCAAAGAACGTCATTCAACTCAAAAAGTTCAAAGTCATAAAGTTATAATAAAGTTATAATAGCGGAAACAGGAATTAAAGATCAGACTCGGACTGAAACCAAGGCAAAATCTCTCATTTATAACACGTTTTTTAAGCTAAAGTTGTCCATCTAATATTAAGGTTCAATTTTATTTGAACTTTATAATGAAAATGTTTGTTTTATGTAACACGTGAGCGTAACATGTACTAAACCCAGTATTTTCCTTTCATATAATGATGTTTTTTGCATGAAAAATCACCAATTTCCTTTCATCGACAGGAAGAGGAAATCAAACTAGCGCAATCTCTCTCGTTTAATGGAGTAATCTGGCAAACGCTTCTGTTCTCAATCAGCCGATAAACAAGGAAGATCTGGCCTAGACTCTCTCTCTCTCTCTCTGAACCGGTCACTCGGGTCTCCTCCCTTCAGTTCCTGATCTGACACACACACACACAGAGAGAGAGAGAGCGCCGAGACACACACACTGACCTTAATCTGTCTGCAGCTTCACAACGTACACCAATACATCACTGTCACACACACACACACACAAAACAAAAACAAGATTTCTGAAGTTCTAAACAAGACAAAGTTATGGAGTTTATTGTATATTGGAGTAAAATTCACATTTGATTCAGTGTGTTACTTGCCGTTTCAAACTATCAGGGAGGGATTTAGCTGTTGTGATTGGTTGTTGTGAAAACATGAGAACCAATGAGATTGTGTATTTTTACCTTCTAATCTACAGAATTGCTTCATGTTTAAATCTGCAAAGGCATGAGTTTTGAGTTCCAGCCAATTTTGAAGATTATCAATAAAGACTTAAATGTGTGGCTTTTGCTCATTCAAATCTATCAGATATTTATTATTAATATTTGATATGATTACATTATAATAAATATGAGTATTTTAAAATAAAAATATTTCAAATTAAGAATAAAAATAGGCTGATTGTGCCGGTTTGAACGAGGTGAATGGTATTTGTGGGTGAACTGTCTCTTTAAGACCGAACCGATTCTTGCTCCCAGCAAAGTGTCTTTTATTAAAACCAGACGGCACAGAACTTCAAGTTTTTAAAGTTTCAATGTGCCGAAAGCATATTCAAAAATCAACGTTTATTAAAACAAAAAGCTTTGAGAAACTACAAAACTGAAACTCATTGAAATTACAGCGTACAATATTAATGCTCATAAACACACTGAGACTTGATTAGCATTTGCAAAGCTGGAGTGCTAATCATTTTCAAGACAAATAAATATTCAAAACAAATATGCAAAATCCTCCACAATAAAAAGCCTGAAACGGCGTCTCACACACAGTCGACATGCATCGCTTAAAACTAAGCAAAATAAATCCTATTGTGCAAAATAATTCACAAGCGGACCCACAAGAAAAAGACAGATCAGCAATCATTATCATCAGCAATCAAGTATTTATCCCATTCATTTTCTCCAAAGGCATTTTAAAAACGTTTAAAAATGTTGTCAATTTTGAGTTCATCGCTGACGGTGAGATTTGAAGAAAGTCTCATTAAACATTTGTGTTTTTTTGCATTGATAAATTGGACCAGAAATGTATTATATGAAGTAAATAGAGTGAGTTTAGATGTTAAAAGGGTTCGAATCACAAATATTTAGGCCTAAATTTAAGTTTTATGTACTTCCATGCATTTGGATTACAGTTTTATGATGCGTATTTGTCATTTAACTCTTTTCCCACGAGGTTTTTTTTATTTTGCCATCCAGCATTTTTGATCATTTCCAATATTTTGTTGCATGAAAATTTGATTATACCCAGATAGCAAAAAATATCCGCACGGCTTCTTTTTGCCGCCGGCCTGACGCTGTCGGCTATAGGTGCGTCCCGCTGGCGGCGATGAAACGTTTGCCGCCGAATACGTCACTGACGGTCACTCCCATTTTTTGCGAGATGCCGCCGGCGAATAGCTGGCGGGCCGCCTGCTTCATTTTCACTGGCGGTTGCCTCCGTCGCATGGACCGCGGCCGGCTGGCGGCAAACCGCTTTGAAATACAAGGATTTCAACACTCAAAATCGACCAGCCATGGCTTACTATTTGCTCCATGGGTTTAGGCTATAACAGATTCTTGACTCTTGATTCCATAAGGTCTAGGAAATTACGTTTAAATTAAATAGGCTATGTAAAATATATGTAATTATTTTATGCAGGTAAAAAATATTTATATTTCTTTGATTGATGCACATTTGAGACACCAATTAACCAAAAATAATTTGTCAATAAAACTTATTTGGCAATAAATATCTTTCTGATTAGGTTTTACAAAATATATTTAATTCGTGGTATGAACAATTTAGAAGATATTTTATTATTATTTTATTATTTATTTTAAAGGCAATTAAAAAATAGAATCATTTAGATTGTGAATGTTAATTCACTATTTTGTGCATAGAAAATCTATAGCTAAAACAAATGTGTTCTAGCTATAATTTTGCTATTCACAAAATAGTGAATTAACATTCACAATCTAAATGTTTATATTTTTACAAGACTGTGAACTGTGAAGTACTGAATTGACAGTTTTGCTGTGTTCATGTTTTTTTTTTTTTTTTTTTTTTTTGGTAAACGGGGGCTCGATTACACACTGAAGCCACTGACCCCCTAACAATATGACAATCAGTTTGCCGCAGTAAGAACCTTTCTTTTACGATCTATGGTTAGAACACAGCATGAAGTTACAAACTCGTGTACAGTAGGTGGCGGTATGCACCTAAAAGTTGGTTGCAATCAGACAATAATCAAGAGAAGAAGAAGAAGATTGCCGAAGTAGAAGTTACTCAGCCCACAGTTTGCTTGCTAGCAAAGTCATCGACTACCGTCGTATAAGTAAGTATATGTTTCCTTTTTTTGTAACGCAATATTATGTTTACATTGGTTTTATTTTATCTTTTTAAAATATGCTAACTTAGTCATCTTTGTTCTTGCAGTACGCTGCTAGTCCTGTTGCTAGAGTGGCTAACGTTCGCAGCTAACACATGCTGTTTTGCCTTTGTTAGGACACGTTGCTAGTAGTAGAAATGTAATTAGCTACTTACAGTAGTTAGCCAAAGCTTTACATCTAGATGGACTAAGTATAACTTGTATATAGGTTGTGTAAATTATTTTGTTTGTCCGAACTAGTATTTTGCTAGTTCAGTTCACAATGTAGCTAGCACGCTATAGTGGTTAATATTGGTTCTCTTTGATCACTGCAGCAAGCTTTATGGAAAAGAACGTGACATACAACATGCCTGGATTGGTTTGGTGCACCTCCTCAGACAAGAAGCCAAAAAGTATGGTGTCCTTGATAACATATCATGCTTCCCATTTGAAAACTTCCTTGGCATGGGTGTCTTAATAAACAATAGACAGTCATCGCTCAGTTGTTGGCCCTTGGACTCCCCTGTCACCTCTTGTACAGCATGAGGTTTTCTGCTATGAAGGTATAGTCTAGGCATATGTCTTAGTGTCCATCGTTTTAACAGTATTGAAAACAGTGCCTTTAGATGTATTTATTTATTTTTGCAGATTTACAGAGACTCCAGAACAAAAAACAAACCCTAAGGGAAAGCAATGCACCAGCAGGTGAGAATATATGCACTCTTTCTTAAATGTAACTTTTTTGTGTGTGATGTAGGTCCAAAATTACCATATGCCTTTCATTTTGTCGCGTCAGATGACAGCGGCTCACTTCAAGAGCAGGTGAAGCAAGTTGGGATAATGTTGAAGATGTTTGCTCACACTGGGCAATCAGGTACAACTTGCAAACAACTTAAGCATTGGTTGTTGGTTTAATTCCCAATGGGGCCCATTAGTAGTTGAGGGACCCGGACTGACTACTTTATTCTTTTATTATGGGAACCCCTGTAGGTGCAGACGTCTTGGAGAGTTTGGGCGATGTTGTTCGCAGCATGGACAACAAAATGGACTATGCTGCATCATTTTGAGTTATCCCTACCAGGGGATCTGTTACTCCCACTAGACACCCAGGAAGATTTGGCGTTACTTGACAACAGTATGAGGCAGGATAAAGAGCTCCATGTACAATTTGTAAGTGTTCTGATTTCGTTTATATCGCAATAGTGAAAAAAAAAGTGTTGTTTTTTTTCTTTCTAAAAAGTAAAATTAAGATTGTACACAGCATATTCTACAGTATGAATGCACACCCTGTTACATTTTAAACTTATGAGAAGCTTCAGATAAATGTAATTTGTTACACTTTTTTTTACAGGGACCTAAAGACAACCGTGTGGCGAATGCTTCAGAGTATCTTCTCTAATCACCTTTCCATCAATATAACCTGGTCTGTTGTAGGTGATAAAGCATGTTTTAGAGACATGTTCCTGAAGACCATTGTTCAAAGTAAGTTGGATATTTTTTTTTTATATTTAAGTAGATGTCTATGACTTTATGCCTTTCAAATGGAATGACAGATCTTTATTTTCTACAGGAGCCATCCGAAAGAACCCGGCGACCCAGGATGCCACTGATGAGGCGATCCAGGTTAACGTTACACATCACCTGAAAGGAGCATCTGACCGTGCAGGTGGAAAAAGGCACCGCTGAGTGGGACCCACAGCCGACCCCTTAAACCTAGGCTGACTACTGACACCCCAGCATCACTTGACAACTGGAACCCTTTCTTTATCCTGCAGACAGTAACTTCAAGACATCTAAAAAAGGCTTGTTACAGTGCTTAACTCTTCTATTTAAATACAGCTTGTAAATCCTAGAATATACATCTAATATTTGATTTCTGCACATTATCTGGTATCAAATATTCCACTTGCCGTGACTTTAGTATTGGCTTATTTCATTTCGTCAGTGCTTAACGATTCTACATGCTCTATGCACGAACCCTGCTGACGTATGTCCAAAAGAATCTCAGCCAGCATCTTTACTTCCACAAGCGCATTCTGCAGGCAATGTATATAGCGGCAAAACTTTAACAAAATTCATTTTCTTTCACTTTTCAATTCCTCACAGTGTTGTTAACATCATTATCGTTAACCGCAAGAATTTTTCGTAAACAGTGAGCGTAACTTACCACTATCTCCACCTAATGCAAAACCGGCTTCTGACGCAGCACCGGATGTAACTGGGCGTCCTGAGACAAAGCCGGAAGTGATCGTGCATAGAGCCTATTATAGTTTGCAAATCCCGTTTCATGCCTGATATTTGATATTGCACATTAACTAGTACCAAAAATTCTACTTTCATTCCATCAGTGTGCTTAACTGTTATTCTATTAAAAATAGCTTGGAATACTATTTCATACCTCTGATACTTGAAATTGCACATTACCTGGTACCAAATATTCTACTTCATTCTGTCACAGTGCTTAACTGTTATTCTATAGTTAAATATAGCTTGTAAATCCTTGTGCCACAGGTCAGCATTGCAGTTATAATGGTATATTCTCAAATTATTTGGTGTCCTTCACTTTCTTTGGTACCAAATATCCTCATTACTTGTGTTTACTGGTAATTATTTTCATCCCAGAGCTGAACTCTTTATGTTATTAGCAAGTATTGTAAGTGTTATACAGTGTTATATAGTGTTATATATACAAATAGTGTTTTTTAACTAAAAATGTATTGGAAAGCTGTGTGTGTTTGTATTTTTCTGTTATATTTCAGCGATCTGACATTGTTTAATGACAGTTACTGTACTTTCAAATGTGGAAATAAAATGTCAAATGAAAATTTGTCTGGTTTGAGCAATCATTATTCTTGATAAACTGCATGCTGTAAATATTAAATTAAATAAATAAATATATAGTGCAATAAGCGGCGGGCCGCGGTCAGCTCGCTCGAAAAGAGCGTTTGCCTCCGACGGGCCGCTGAAGGTCCGCCTTCGGTATAATAGGCGGCGGAACGGCGGCTGGCCGGCGGGCCGTCCGCGGAACGAAGGCGGTAGGAAGGCGGCAGACGCTTTTAAAAAGCGGCTGCCGCCGGCGGTCCGCCGTCAAACGTGTTTGCGATTTCGCCTTTCTGACGCTTCTACTGCCTCCGGAGCGCCGCCGGCGGCCCGCCGACTCATTGCTATCTGGGTAACTTCATGCATTCTTTTAAATCAACCTTGAATGTGGGTCATTTTCCTAAAAAAAGCTAAATTTTGAGGTAATTTCCCCAAAAAAGCTAAATCTTGAGCACAATGCTGATAAAATCATACAATTTGATGATTAAAACACAGATGGACAGCTTCACAGTCTTGCGCCTCGTCCTAGATCGACATTTCATTCATAACATTTTGATTCACATGCTGTTTAATGTTCGCGTTCGTGTGGTTTCGGCTTCTTCTTCTCCTGTGTTTTGATCAGGAGATGCTGTACTCGTGTAACAGCGCCCCCTACCGTATAACGGGGAACGAGTTAACTAACAAAGTCAGAATTGAATGAGGTTTTGCAGGGATGATCGCTCATCTAAAACAGCACTGCAGAGTCTGCTGGGAATTGTGGTGTTGCTGTGAGCTGTAAAATTCATTGTAAAGTAATTGAAGGCCAACACAACAGTGGCTAACCCAGTTTGAAAGCTCGAGTCGGTTCACACATGACGCTCTGCGGTTCTGCTGTGTGTTTTGGAAAGGCTCAGAGATAAAAAGAGGAAAGAAAGGCCCTCGGGTCGAGTCCTGGAAACGCCTGCGATGTTCTAATTAAAGATCCTTAAATAGGAAGATCTGGACCTGACATCGTCAGGCTCTCATTTACCTTCAATAACATCTAACATCATCGACTGCGATCAGAACAAACACAATGAGTGCTTAAATATACACTGCTCACTCTAACATCATTTCCCTTATAATGAATCAAAGTTATTTGAATACATAGCCAACCCATGATTATTTCTACTAATTTAAATCATATTTTGATTAACATTCACTAATGTTCAAAAGGTCTATTGATGAATGAATATTAAAAGGAATGAATATTAAATGAAAAAACTCTAACTAAACTAATGCTTGAGAGACTGAGAGAAAGAAAAGATGAATAATAATAACCATTGAATTATATGAGAAGAATTAGCCAGACTTTTAATGATTTTACATATTTCTGTTTAAAAGTTTGGGGTCAGTCAGGTAAAAAAGAAATGCTAATAATTTTATTCAGCAAGGACACGTTGAATTGATCATAATGTTATAAAATATTCTATTTCGAATATAAACTTTCCATCCATCAAAAAATAAAATCCAAAAAAATACTGTTTTCAGCACTGATAATAATCATAAATGTTTGTTGATTTGTGAAGGATCATGTGACACCGAAGACTAGAGTAATGATGATGAAGATCACAGGAATTAAATTTACTGTATATTTACATAGAAAACAGATGATTTACATTACAAAAATATTTTACTGTTTTTCACACTATTTTTTTATCAAAGAAATGCCGCATTTGTGACTTCAGAAGTTCAGAAACATTTTTAAAAAATCGTATTGACCGCAAAGTGTTTTTCCAAACAAAACATGATTTTCAATAAGAAAAAATGTAGATAAATCCATCATCAACGGATTAAATTATCAAGAGTATAAGTGATTTTGGGGAAACCTGTTCGGAAACAATCTTTTTTTGCAGTTTTGTTTTGTTTGGCGCTACAGAAAGTAAAGCTTGCTTGTGTTTCTTTCTTGTGGACAAATGACATTTGCTGTGATATTTTTTTTATAATGCAGCAACACATTTTTAAGCGAGTACAAATGCGACTGGTAAACAAATGCTTTAAAAAATAACACAATTACAATCCTCACGCTGGCTGGTCGAGTCACACAGCAGGCGTTTGAGTGTGTGTGTGTGTGTGTGTGTCAGCATCGTTCTGAAGACTCACGCTCAATCTCAGGCATTTCTTTGCCAGGGTTCAATATACTCTAAACCCAAATGAGCAAAGATCTCCTCTTCAGTGCAGGCAGGCAAGAAGGCTTTCTGGAGAGAGAGAGAGAGAGAGAGAGAGAGAGAGAGAGAATGGTGAGTTCCTGTGATTTCCGATGAGAATAATGTGAGGAAACTCGCTGGACTTGACGAATGATTGGACAGAGAGACTGCGAGAGCATGAAGAATCACAGCATCATGTTATTGCACATTTAAAGGTCAGTGAATGTGATTGCTTCAGATTGCCGTGTCCTCTCTGTTTACTTTGAGTCTCACAGATGAAGACTGTCTCTAAATGTTTTAAAAGGAGGCCGTCTCCACCGATCAGAAACACACGATACTGAATGCAAGAAATAACGTGACTAACCGTATTAAAGGGGCAAAATAAATGAACTTATCAACATTTAAAAAACTGGAGAAACCCTTGTTTGTAGCGGTGTAACGTTTCCTTCGTGTCACGATTCGATACTGAACTCACGAGTAGAGGTCGACCGATATGGTTTTTTCACGCCGATGCCGATACCGATCTTTTTAAATTAATCGGATTGATGCTGCCGATTTATTTTGTACGTCGGAGGCGTATTGCATTCACTTGGAGTTAATTTTTCATGAGGAAAAAAAATGTGCTCTGTTTTTCTGAATTAACGAGTTAATTTTTCATGAGAAAAACATTTTTTTTCTCTGTTTTTCTGAATTAATGAGTTAATTTTTCATGAGAAAAATTTTTTTTGCTCTGTTTTTTCTGAATTGACGAGTTAATTTTTCATGAGAAATTTTTTTTTGCTCTGTTTTTCTGAATTAATGAGTTAATTTTTCATGAGAAAAAAAGTTTTTCTGTTTTTCTGAATTAATGAGATAATTTTTCATGGAATTTTTTTTTTTTGCTCTCTTTTTCTGAATTAACGAGTTAATTCAGAAAAAACAGAGCAAAAACTTTTTTTCTCACGAAAAATTAACTCATTAATTCAGAAAAACAGAGAAAAAAATTTTTTCTCATGAAAAATTAACTCATTAATTCAGAAAAACAGAGAAAAACTTTTTTTCTCATGAAAAATTAACTCATTAATTCAGAAAAACAGAGCAAAAAAAAATTTCTCATGAAAAATTAACTCGTTAATTCAGAAAAACAGAGCAAAAAAAAATTTTCTCATGAAAAATTAACTCATTAATTTAGAAAAACAGAGCAATTTTTTTTTCTCATGAAAAATTTACTCATTAGTTTAACTCATTAGATTTTTTTTCTTCAAGTGAATGCAATACGCCTCCGTAATTTTGTCAGATATTTGCCCAATATTTGCTTGGTTTTTAACCTCTATTTGAAAGATAAAATGTAAAAGAAATGATAATTACTTAACATACATAGTTAACTTTCTCAACAAAAACATTTTATCCTCTCAAAACATGTATTTTTGTTTTGTTTTGTTTGTTGACGGACAAAGACAAATGGACATAACCTAATTATCACAAAAAAACTTTAAATGATTTAATTTTTTATATATAATATTTATTATATTTTATTTAATTTAACTTCTAACAATAACGTATTTCACTACTAAATTGCTGTTGAACGACAAAAACAACCACCAGATGGGAAAATGTGAAAACAAACCCTAGGCTGCCCACAGATGCGCCTGCCTAATAATCGGCTTGATATACTTGGATATTGGCCGATGCCGATTATGTTAAAAAATGCCCAAAATCGGCCGATTAATCGGTCTACCTCTACTCACGAGACCATATTATTGCGATACTCCAATAAGACACATGATAAAAGGTGAACAAAAAATGTACTGTTGATTAAAATACTAAATTTGGTTTTACATTGTGAATGAATAAACTTGGACTTGGTGCTGAAACCAAAGCACAGGGTAAATTATGAGTAACCAGAATAACAATATTCATGATTCTGAAGCTGAAAATACGGAATTATTAGTAAATTATTATCTATAGACTAGATATATTTAAAATAATGTACTTTGTACAGGTAACATCAGACATTGGCATTATCAGGACGCACAAATATCCGCCATAATTATACATTATATTCAACAGTATATAATGTAGTACTGACACTAAAACTCTGAAAACTTAAAATCAGTCATTTTTATTTTGGGTGAACTATCCACGATACATATTGTTGCATTTTTGTATTGCGATATATTGTGACATCATGATATATTGTTACACCCCTACTTGTTTCTCAAACTGCACTTGCATGCATCTACATGCACATATCCCAGAGTTCAGCTCAACTGAGTCTCGCATATGATGAATAAGAGCAAACCGGAGGCGTGCACTGCATTAACAACCTTCCTGACCTTGCCACGGACGATTGTTAGGGGGAAAAGCCATTATAGACGTTGTGTGTGTGTGTGTGTGTGTGTGCGCGCGCTCAGGGCGTGTTGTCATGAAATGGTATATATCAGGGCTGGAGAAGCGAGTCTGACTCATGTTGGCAGCGGAAGGGAAGCTCTGAGCTCGACACGTCATGCCTGGAAGTGCTAAACTGGAACTAATTTGTCAAAGTCAAAATGTATTTCTATAGCACATTTAAAAGCAAAGTGCTGTAAAATAAAACATTGATCATATAAAAAGAAAGCATATAAATAAACCATGCAGCAAAATATAAACACATTAAGCTAAATATCATTTTTTTTATAAATTAATACAAATATTGACTGGTCCAATGGGAATATTACACTTTAAATGTGCAATACACAATGAGATTTTAACACTTTCTGTATAAAATGTGAGCAGTGTTTGCCTATGCAAGATTTGATGTTGAAATCCTGAATCTGAACTGAAGTCCTGCAGTAAACAGGATGCAGAGTGGCAGCTCAAATTTAAATGGAATGATTTCAAAGATTCAAATTCAAAAATTTGAATTTTTGAAATTTAAACAAACATTCCAACTACAAAAGCACATTCTTCACCTCGTTTGCTTTTGAACTTTTAAGGGAATTCTCCTTTTATTTCTGAACCACAACTATAGTTCTTATGAGACGGTTAATAAATTAAAATGCAAGTGGTGTTTGCCTATGCAAACTATTGCTGTGGTGTTGTGGGCGGTTGCCAGGGCGTTGCTATGCAGTTCTAAGAGGCATTATTAATAATAGGGATGTTTGTCTTACACACACGTACACAAAAGTATATTTCATGAAGTTTGGGATCTGTACGATATTTTTTTTTTTTTTTTTTCACCAAGGCTGCATTTATTTCATCAAAAATACAGTAAACAATTAAATATTATTGCAATATAATGTATAGTAAAGTGTAATTAATTCCTGAATTTATCATCATTACTCCAGTCTTCAGTGTCACATGATCCTTCACAAATCACTCTAATATGAGGATCTGATGATCAACAAACATTTATAACATTGTTTAAAAAACATACTGATACATTTTATTTTTCAGGATTCTTTGATGAATAGAAAGTTCAAAAGAACAGCATTTATTTGAAATAGAAACTTTTGATCAATTTAATGCATCCTTGCTGAATAAAACAATCAATTCCTTTTTAAAATGACCCCAAACTACGTCTTTATGCAGATGTTAATCATCAACATAACGCGAGTCGTGCGTCTAATGTCCGTCTTTCTGTTTCAGTGAATGTGAGCGAGTCACTTACACTTACACAGACTTACAGATGAATACAGATGCATTTACAGTCAAACCAACATGCCAATTAATTTTTGGGTAAAATATGTCACAGTTTACTTTATTTTGCTCTCGTCACTTATATAAATGAACTATAGTGTCATGCACACACTAGTAAAAAAAACAACAAAAACCATATCTGATGTCTGAATGATTTTTGGTTTGACAGTAAAAATAAAAAAGCACTCTATTTGACCGTTTTTGCTGAATTCTGGAAGCTTATGCATAGAAATTTCACCACTGAGAGAGTATCAAGAGTCAAATCGAGCGTGATCCCGAACGCCAAACTAAGCCTTCCTTGAGAAATGCCCGTTCCCTACAATCCCTCAGATACTCCATATAGGAAGAGCTCCACATTAATGACAGCATGTCTCCAACACACACACACATCACAAAGCTTGGAGACTTTACATGTCCAGCAGATCTACAGCGAATACTCACACTACAAACCCAGCTTGAGCACATTAGGAGTCATTTAGTATTAATCAAATGGTGCCTTCGCTGGTCATAATCCGGTTATGATGCGCATTGATCTCTTGAGTAAATGAAGCGTTGCTTAAAGTGTCCATAATCCTACGGTACGTGTTTATGAACCACAATAAAAGTGCAGATATGTTTAATTCCTAATAGGTTTCCCAAACACTCGTATTGTGCCATCTGTCCTTTCTTCCATCAACACAACAGCTCCACGTGAGCAGTTCAACTAACTTGCTGAGTAAGATCAAAGACGTTATGTAGAAAGAAAGCCTGTATATGCATACGTAATAAGTCCCGCCTTCTAAATAAAAGAGCCAATCGCCAATTGGCAAAACCTGAACGACAAATCTCATCTGACCTTTACACAAATAAAGTTGACATGTCGACTTCATCTATCGCGTTCGTTATATTAATCTTTCTGCCTGTAACATCAAGGCTTTTTAAAGCTTTTTCAAAACATTTAAACCAGGCTTTGTTGAGTCAACGTTTAGTGTTCTGAATCGAGGGTAAGCGGTAGCATTGGTTTTCAGCGTGAAAACACACAACACACATCTAAAATGGGAAAGAGCTTTGAGATCGACCGTCCAAACTATTTGACAAGAAATCCGAGGTTTATTTTTACAGACTGCCGAAAGCTATAAGAGAGAAGCAAATGCAGAATCACAGAAACAACATGATTTGCTGAATCGTAGCCGATATATCGTATTGAAAACTCATCAATTAAAAACGTACCATAGTACATTCTGCAATAATTGGACGTTTTTAAATAAACACTGACAAAAATGTACATTAGAGCCAGGCCGATATTAGGCATTTTCCAAATTATCGGTATCGGCAGTTATAATGCCTGATAAATGAATATTTTGTATCATATTTTGATAATGAATATTTGAACAAAATTTGTGACTATCATGTCC